CCCAGAGGGCCTTCCCCTCCTGCACCTGCCCTCCACCCTCCCAAGCATGACATCCCTCTCCAAGGACCAGTCCCTCCTTACAACATGACCAAAGTATGTCAGACGAAGTCTCAGAATCCTTGCCTCCAAGGAGCAGCCCGGTTTAAGCCTCTCCAGGATGAATCTGTTTTCTTAGCAGCCCATGGCACACTTAATACTCTTCTCAAGCACCACAGCTCAAAGGCATAAATTCTCCTTCTATCCTCCCTGGTCATTGTCCAGCTCTCTGACACATAATAAGTGATTGCAAAGACCATGGCCTGTACCAGATGCACCTTAGTCTTCAGAGACACACCATCGCTCTTCAGTACTTCTGAGAGGTAAAACTAGGTAGAACTTATCCTATATCAAGATAAGTCCCTTACTTATCTCATCCTCTTTACTAATGCTTCATATTTTTTTCTCAATTATGGGAGACTCTAAGCTTATGTGGATTCTTCATTCATGACAAGGATGTTTAAGTTATAAAGTATAGAATAATCAAAGGGTAGTTGCCCCTTGAGGCATGGTGAAACGTGAACTTTGCTTCATGCTTTCAACAACTGAGCACGTGTTTGACTGGAAAATTAAACTAATAAAGACCATTGAAAAAATGTAGGCTCTTTGAGTGGCCATTATATCACCAATGTAGTTTTTCAGTTCACAGTGGTAAGAGTATTGAAGTAAAGGAAACAAGGTAGGAAGGGACCAGTACTTAATGAGCACAAGTTCTGTACCAGCAGCTGTGCACACAGCAACTCACTAAATCCTGGTAGTTTTCTATGAAGGTAGAGAGCATTTATCTCACTTTTACAATCAGAAACTGAAGTTCAGTGAGCTGAATCATTTGGGTCAAAACTACATGGTTAGATGGGAACCAGGCCTAGCCTAAAACCCAGGTATTCCAGATTCTAAAACCTATATTCTTTTCATTGTACCTGGATGCCTCCCTGATGTAACACTATAATGAAATTCTTTATAATAGGATAAAAAAATCAAGAACAGCCAAAATTGACAAAAATTAGAATTACTAGACACAAAATATAAAGTAACAAATGTTTTTATAGGTAGAAAAACAGAATTCAGTCTATAAGCAACAAAGATGACACCATATAAAAAAGACTAAATACATTTAAATGTCTAGAAATACCTTAAGAAGTGAATTATGAAATATATTAAAGAGCAACGAAATATGTATTTAGAATTAATAATTAAAGTAATAGATGAATACTGCTAAGAGAATTCGAGAACTGGAGATAGACACAAATAAAGAATAACGTATTAATGTCAACATGCATTATGTTTGAAAAAGGCCTAAAGAGTACTGAGAAATAATGAAAGAATGTTAAAAAGGTACTATTTAAGAGGTAAACATTGAGATTTTCTAGAATTACTGGATGAATGAATGTAAATTTTCAGGCCTAAAATGAAAACCCTATTACCACGTGAAGAACTTATTTAGGCTAGTTGATAAATTATGATGAAATTTCTACCACTTTGAGAGGTAATCATTTTGGGGAAGAAGATGTGACTTACCCTTTAAAAGTGCCCAAATCATTCTGTTCAACTGCCAGATTTTCATCAGCTAAATTAAATGTTTCTTTACTTAAACACAATGCACTTTACATGACAATAGTTTATTGTTTTTAATAAAAACCCATACACATTGGGACTTAGCTTAAAAGGTTAATGCTGAAATCCTTTGAGCTCTCATGGTTTAAGGTAACCTTGCCATTCCTGAGTTCCTTGGTGGTGGTCACACAGCATCTTTCTAGGTTTTTTGTTTTGTTTGCCTCTTTCTGTGTCTAATCTGCTCTTTTGATATCTCAAAAAAATCCTTCAGTTTAAGACCCACTCTACAATGGTGTATTCTTCCAATACCATAGAGCTTTTGAAAGCCGATCATTTCTGAGGAGGACAGCCAGTCTTGCTTCTTCATCTATCTTAGTCTGAAAGCTTCATTGTAACCTGTTCACCATGGGCGACTGCTAGTATTTTAAATACAGGGTAGCCTTATGGCAAGAAGTTGCACTGCAATCCTGGAGGCACGCGTTTTAAATCCATAAGCTGCTCTGAGGGAAAAGAATGGCTATTCTCCTTCTGTGCAATTAACTGTCTCTGAAAACCCTCCAGATGGCCAGCTATGAATAGGTTCCAACTCAACAATACACAACAACAAACAGCATATATTCTAACTCCACAGCAAAACACAAGCCAACATAGTTCATCAAATTGACAGGCAAGTGATGGGAAGACAAAAAAGAGGAAGACCCTCAACATATGGATTGACACAGTGACTAGTTGGGCGTGAGCTAGACAGAAATGATGAGGATAGGACACAGGATAGGGCATGGCTCAAATATATTGTTCATATGTTGCCAAGAGTTGTGGTTGACTTAATGGTACCTAATAACAACTTCATTTGTATGGTTTCATGTAGAAAACTCTACTCTCAAATGAGACTGCCTCCACAGGTTCTGGGTTTAACATTCCAAAACACATTTTTATAAAACAACAACAAAAATATTTACTGCCCTCGAGTGACCCTTGTTGTGACTCATAATGACCTTCCTAATTTCCCAGGTTGTAAATCTTAATAGGAAACTTTTCATCTTTTGCCCACCAGAGAGCTCCTTAACACGTGTAGAGACAAAATTCAATCCACAATTATCATCCTGATACAGATGCCCCCTAATCCAACCACTTGCAGGGCTCGGGTTCCAATAAAACAATTCAGCTACATTTGTGGATCATTTACCATTTTCCAGTCACCGTGCTAGGCATGGTAGGAAAAGAAAGCAAGAATTCATTTATGTTTGTTGTAATCAACAAATATTCTTTAGCCTATTTGACTGAAAATAAGTTGCTGACAAGGTCTAAATGTATCCATGATCCTATGCCAGGTGTATTCTTCTATTATTATCATCACTGTGGTGACAAAAATAACAAGAACAATTAAAAAAGTCACAAAATAAATGAAATGAATTTGAATTTGTGTCCATTTAGAACAGTAAACTTCATGCCATAAAGTCAAACAAATGGTCCAAAGTTTAGGTTGTTGAAATCCTTTTCCTGAATACAGTTAAAATATATAAAATAAGATGACATACATAGAACCCAAAACTAACTGCCATCAAATTAATTCTGAAACATCCACACCTTCTGTTTGGGCTTCTGAGGATATAAATCTTAAAGGGAGGTGAAAGCCTGCCTTTCTCCCATAAAGTCCCTGGTAGATTTGAACCACTCGTGGCTTTTGGGAAGCAGTGCAAGTCAGTATGAACGGTGTTACCAGAGCTCTGTCTCAATAGAAAGAAATAGGTTAATTTTTTAAAAAAATAGTTCTTGGTTTAGACAATCCAATCCATTCACTGCTGACGACTTTGAAACTACCAGATACAGTACAGCTGAGTCCCAAAATTTGGGATCCACAGAGTCACATATGAACTCATTTAGAAATACATATTCTTGAGCTCAGAGAATTATTAGTCAGGTTTGGGTTAAAGCTCAAAGGCTCAGAATTCTGCATTTTGTTTTAGTTGTTTTCCACACATCATGGATAGATGTGGACAAGTGGTCGAGAACACCTCTTACTAAAGTTTATCCTAGTAAAAATAAAGTTTCAAATTTTCCCTGTCCCAAGAACATAAAGAATCATGGGTAACTCTACACAGATATAAATGTGATCCAATATTCAACTGTCCAATTTGGTTTGGATCAGGGGAGCAGACTCATCATAATTTCCAAGCATGAGAGAAACTGGAAGTTATGACATTATTAATAACTAAAGGGGTTTTCCCATGTAGATTATTGTTATATTCCATCAAGTTGGAATCAAGTCATGGTTAATTCTCCAGAAGTTTTTCAGAAACAGTTAATCACATGAGAGGAGATTGCCCATCTTTCTCATGAAGAGCCTCTGGTGGCTTTGAACTGCTGGACTTTGAATTGGCAGCACAACCCCTTAAACACGAAGCCACAATCATATATGGCCACTAGCCACATCATGTATGTATATCTAACATATTTTTATGCACTTGGCAAGATTTTTACTTTTTAACTCTTTTTTTCCTCCTTTAATCCTAATAATTAATTTAAATAGCATCAAGCATTAAGGAAATGATTTTCATGTGTTTAGCTACTCTCTTCCTCCAAAAAGTAATTTGAACTCACCTTTTCAAAGCCAGCACGGTAATGGGCCATTTTCCTTTGTAATTCAGATTCCGTTACAGGAATGAGAAAAAATAATTTGAGAAAGACAGATATTTGTAACATGCCTTATTTTATTGACCTAGAGTGGATGGTCAATATGTTTACTTGATTGCAATATAACCAATGGACTCTAGGATCTCCTACGAGCAAGCATGTTGAGTGGTTAAAACCAGGGAGGTGGAGAGGATATGTAAACACTGATGATAAAATTTGCTTTTACTTTTGAACAGTCTTTTAAGTATCCTTTGGTAAATACTTCCTTAAGATAGAGGTTATTGAAAGTGATATACTCTGATATACTCTATAATTAACACATAAGATTTTGTAATTTCTGTCTAATACATATATATGTGCCATAAACATTTTTGTCTCACAAAGAGTCTAGCTATCATTAGGGAAATACCACAAAATCTACTTCCTTTAGCATCTACTTATCAATGTGGAGCAGCCCATCCACTGAGCATTACAGTGCACGATGTTCATCCCAGTGAGTTAACCACATATCCCTTTTTCCCCCACCCAGAACTTTTGATGACTTTGCAAACCAGTCAACAATTCAGCACAAAGGCGTTCTGAGTCACGCTGGCATGTTGTGACAGAATCACACAATTGCATGCAATTCTTCCCATTTTGAAAATCCCCCGGACAGCAGATGCAACTAGAATCAAACATCAGAACCAGCACATCCTGAGAGAGACTTTGCAGCCCAGACTGCAGCCTCTGGGGGGGGGAAACCTCCTTTTGTGACATGGAATAAAGCTGATGGGGAAATGGCAGAAGGACTTCCAAGAACAACTTTAGCTTTGCTCTTCCTCGGATTCTTTGGGGCCGTGGTGGCAACACCAATATCATGCAGGAATGAAGAAGGTGAAGCTGTGGATTGGTAAGTATGAACCATAAAGATTGATGTGTGAGAAAAGAAAGCAAAGGCAGGTTGTTTCACTGTAAAGTTCTTAACAAGAAGTTCTTAACCCACCTGTCCTGTCCTCCTGCTTCCCTTTAGGAACAAGGGGTGGGGGGAGTGTGCAAATGTACAAATTACCAGATAAGGTTAGTATTTTAAGCTGGTTTCCCCCTACGAATGTTCAGAACCGTCTCTCACAGGTCTGATTCACTACTCTCAGAAGGGCAAAACTGGTTGCCTCTAAAGTAAAGATGACAGTTTTTCAGCTAGCAATTTCCTTTCATTAGAGCATAGTTTTGCCTCACAGTAGCTTTCTAATTTTAAACAAACATACAAGAAAACACCACCACCACCAAACTCATTGCCGTTAAATGGATTCTTACTTTGTAGTGCTTGACATAGTCTGTAGGAAGCTGCACTGCTAACCGAAAAGTGGCACCGACCTCGAGGTTCGAACCACCAGCAGCGCCTCCGGAGAAAGATGGGCAATCAATCTACTCCTTTGCGATTTACAACCTTCAAAAAACGCTATGGAGGGTCACCTATCACTTGGTTCTGACTCGATGACAATGAAAAGAGGGAAAAAAGAAATGGCCAGAGTAGAGCTTCCCCATAGGAAGCCCCAGGGCTCCTCAACATCTTTTTAGAGAATGGCAATGCAGAAAAGAAATGTAATCTTCTTCTGAAGGGAAGTTCTCTTTGTATGAATAAGAAGGTCTGCTTGATTAACTTCTGTTTGTTAAGGCAGTTTCAATAGGAGCTGGAGTGGGTGGTGGGTCACTGAACTTTTACACAGTGTTAAAAAGACTAAGTGTAGGGTTGCATTATAATAATGGATTTTCCTCCTGCTTTCATCCCTCTCTGCTCTCTAATTAGGGTGTTTAGTTTTGCCATTATGGTTGGCATCAAGCTTATGATAAAATTTAGGACATGGACTCACAGACGCTTTCAGCAAACACTTCTTGGGCACACACCAGGCCCTGTGCTTGATTTTAAAAATACAAAGATGAACAAAAGATTTTCTGCCCTCACAGAGCTCACAGTTATGTGGCAAGGGAATAAACGAAGCATTACAGGTGCAAAGAACTGAGAAGGTCCTTTGGGAAAGTGGATTTTGAGCTTAAGTTTTAAAGAATAATTATGAGTCAGCTAGAAAAAGAGTGATATAAGAGCAGGTCGATGAGGAGACCAGAGACTAGAAGCCATGTGAATGAAAACATCAGCATCCATGAATGAACCTGAGACCAGAAAGAAAGTGGATGGTGCCCACATACAACAATTGACCATTCTAAAAGGGATCGCGGTAGAAGATCTTGGATATAGTGGGGCAGGAAATGTGGAACAAAACTCAAAACCACATAAAAAGCCAAGCTTACTGATCCAATAGAGACTGGTAGAACTCTCAAGCATAATCACCCTTCAAACCTGGAACAAAAGTCACTCCTCTCCTCCCTCCCATGTCGCTGAACTTTCAGTCAAACACCAGAGAGATAAGATAGTTAATAAAATTAGGGAGGCACTCGCTTCTTAGAATAACTAACATTGTAAGGTCATAAGAGCAGTATTTGCCAAAGGATAAAAGGCACTGAGGAATAGAGGAATTAATGGAAATGAGAATTACAGGGAGGAGGGATTGGGGAAAGATCAATTTACATCATGAGTATTGTCATTAATGTTATAAAACAAAACTTGTATGAATGGTTAAATAAAAAACTAATTTGCTTTCAAATGTTAACTCAACAACTGAGAAAAAAAAAACATGAAACTGTATGAGAAGTTTCAGAGCTTCAAATATTCCTGTATTGCTGCATCTTCAGGAGAATGTAAACCAGAAAGTTAGGTGATGGTCAGATCTCAGAGTTTTGTGTGCTGAGCGGCAGGGTTTGAGCTTGATTGACCTTGAAAGAAAGCCCCTAAATAAAATCAAGCTGTAGCGTCATACGGCCAGATTAGGGTTTAGAAAATTCACTGACAGAACAGTGAAGGCTAGATCAAGAGGCACCATTCGAGAGTAAGCAAAATCAGCTGGAATTTCATAGTCTTGCATTTGTGAAGAACAAGACCCTGAGTTGAACGATTGGCAGTAGAAATGGAGAAGAAACATTCGAAGAAGATTTGCTAATGGATGTGAAATGGACAATGAAGAGAAATTAAGATTTAAGACTTTTAAGTTTTGGCTTCTGTGACTGCATGGATGATTCCTTAATTGGGGGAGATAAACAGTTGTTGTTGTTGTTGTTATGTCGAGTCGTTTCCGACTCATAGCGACCCTATGCACAACAGCCCTAAACCCTGCTCTATCCTGCGCCAACCGCACTGCCTCTGACACACCCATCCCGATTACCCCAGTCACCGAATCAATCCACCTCATAGAGGGTCTTCCCCTCCTGCGCTGTCCCTCCACCCTCCCAAGCATGATATCCCTCTCCAAGGACCTGTCCCTCCTGGCAACATGTCCAAAGTATGTCAGACAAAGTAAAATATTACAAACTTGTTTTAAAAAATAGGACACTGGAAGTTGCTGGGACACCTTTGTGTCTAGGTTTTTCTGCAACTCAGTATGATCTGTGAGCTAGCAAGAGATTCAGGAATGCTCAGCATATAAATGAAAAAAGTCACTAGGAAGAATGTTTCTTTTTTTCCTTCCCCTCCTTATTTAAACAGTTATACATATCCCATTCCTTGTGAATAATTGCAGTCCAATATTGGCCATTCATTCGTCCATTCTTTTCTGGGAGATTCTTTCCCTCAATGTTTTACTGTGTTTATGTACATTCTGTTTCTGCCCTCTCCGTCCTCACTCCCTACCCCCATCACTCTTTTCATAGTACTGGTATTATACTTTTGTGACTGAGTTATTTCACTCAACGTCATCTTCTATGTTGTGTAGTATTTTATGAATCCTTCGTGGATTGGTTGTTGTTGGTTTTCTTTCCATGCTGAATCATTGTATTTTACTCCACAGAACCTAACAACAACAACAAATATTCCATTGTGTGAATGTTCACAGTTTCTCTATTCATTTGTTGATGAGCTTTGGGACTGTTTCCATCTTCTTGCTATTGTGAATAATACTGCAATAAACTTGTTAGTTGTCATGGAGTCAGAGCCAGCTCACAACCTACCATCCAATGACTTTTCAGAGGCAGTAAAAAACGTGAGAGGAGATTGCCTGTCCTTTCCTGTTGAGCAGCTGGTAGATTCAAACCACATGCCTTTGGATTACAATAAACACAAGTGTACATATATCTATAAGTGTCTCAGCTCCAGTGTCCTCATGGTATATTCCAAATAGTGGAGTAGCTGGGTCATATGGAATTTCTATATTTACATTTTTAAGGAAACACCATGCAACCTTCCATAGTGGCTGTACCATTTTACATTCCTGCTAGCAGTACATGAGAGTTTCAGTCTCTCCACATCCTTGCCAACATCTATTGTCCTGTCAAACTTTGCTATTGCTGCTAGGATGAGACAGTATCTCGTTTTGAAGAACAGCTCCCTAATTCATAGCAATTTTGAGCATTTCCTCATGCATTTGTTGGCTATCTGAATAACCTCCTGGGTGAAGAGTCTGTTCATGTGTTCTGCTCATTTTGTAATTGAGTTATCATTCTTTTTCTTGTGGAGGTATTGTAGTATTCTATAAATTTTAGTTATGAGTTGCTTGTCAAACATGTCATTGCCAAGCGAGTTTTTTTCCCAGTCTGAGCTTTCTTTTTTACTTTTCTTACTTTTTATTCTATATTGGTTTGCATTCAAAATTCATCTAAATTGTGCTTCACACTTTCCTTCATTCACATTATGTTTCATACATTGTTGTTGTTGATTGCCATTGAGTGGAACATGACTCATAGCAATCCTATGAACAGAAGACCTGAAGCCTTTCAAAAACTATCACTGTTTCTCAAAGTTTATAGAGTTTTCAGAGGCATGTTGTTTAGGAAGTAGATGCCTTTCCTGCTTCCAACATTATGTTTATAAAATTAATCTCCATTGAACTATGTCCATCATTACCCTGTCTTTTTAGGTCCATGCCAGACCTTTCTCCACCCATCAAATTGTGCAACTCTGTGTGTGGGCTTTCTTTTAATTCTATTAGACAAGATTTTTGATGCGTGTAAGGATCTGGTTTTTTTATGAGGTATCATTCATCCATTTTATCCCCCTTGTTTATGTATTTTTGCCTATGCTTGCAAGCCTATTCATGCTGTGGTCTAGGGTATCTAACTTTGTCTCTATTTTTTTTAATAACCTTTATAGTTTTACTTTCACCTCTAGCTCTCTGATGCACTTTAAGTTGGTTTTTGTCTATGGTGTAAGAGGTAGAACTTGTTCCATTTTTCTATAGGTAGTCATCTAGTTTTGTCAATACAATTTGTTAAAGAGGCTGTCATTTACCCACTTAGTTTTTTCTCCTTGTTGAATATCATTTGATAGAAGTTAGAATGACTGATTTCTTTTTTAATGACATTTTCTTTTAATTGTTATTTTAATGAAAGTTTACAGAGAAGATAGACTTTCATTCATTCAGTTTTGCACATTTTAGCCCCTCTCCTCCCTTTCCCCTTCCCTCAGTTCACTTTTTTTTTTAATGTGATGGTTTAATTTCTTGGTTTTAAATTATATTCTATTGGTCTTTCTGCCTGTTTCTGTACCAATTCGATGCTGTTTTCATTACTAGAGCTGTGTAGTAGGCTTTGAGATCAGGAAGTATAATGCCTTCTACTTTGTTTTTATTTTTCAAAAGACTTTCACTTATTTGTTGTTTCTTTCTTTTCCAGATAAAATTGGAAATGGCTTTAGCATTTGTATTGAGATTGCATCAAACTTGTAGATAGCTTTTGGTAGTACTGTGATCTTTATAATGTTGAGTCTTCAGAAGAATGTTTTGAAAATACTAGCCATAAAAAAATATCAGCAATGGAATACATAAAGACCATAAACCCTTCAATGGTGCACCCTAGAATTAGCATATGAAACATATTTTTGCTACAGTTGAGTGGATGTATTACTTAGTCACGTCCATCAGAGAGAATATTGAGCAGATAGTCTCAAACTGGTACAACCTAGTTGCAGTGTTAATGAATAAAATAACAAAATGTCAGCGTCAAAAGAAAAAGTTTTATGGACCATGTGAAGGCCTTTCCCTATGAATTAGAAAGTCTGATCAGGGCAGGACACCATTTACTTCAATTGGTGGTGGTGGTGCTATGTGCCATTGAGTTAATTATGACTCATAGCAACACCATGAACAACAGATATGAACCTTATTCTATTCTGCACCATCCTTAATATAAGCAAGCTCATTGTTCCAGTCACTGTTGTCACCCCATCTTATAGAAGGTCTCTATCTACCACCTTTCATATAGCAAAAAACTGAAGAGAATAGAGTGAAGAATTTGATTTCTAACAGACAGTGTAAGATACTTTTGCAGTAACTTTTGTTTAATCAATTGTTAAGCTGATTCCAACTCATGGTAACCCTATGTTACAGCGTAAAACTGTTCTTCATAAAGTTTTCCCTGGCTGAGTTTTCAGAGGTAGATTACCAGCGCCCCCTTTTTTTAGGTACCTCTGGGTGGGTTCCTAATTTGCTTCTGAGTTGTGCCGGAAAAAAATAGTACTAAATATCCATGGATTGCCAAAAGAACAAAATATATATATCTTAGAGAAGGTATAGTCAGAATATTCCTTGAAGGCAAATATGGTGAGGTTTCATCTCATAGACTTTGGGTATATTGCTAGGAGATACTATTTTTTTTTAATTAATTTTAATGAACGTTCACAGAGACAAAGAGTTTCCAGTCATTCATTGTTGCATTTTTCTCCCTACCCACTCCCTCCCCCCCAATTCATTCTTCTCCTTGAGAAGAAAAATAAAAACTCTTTAATTGTTATGCAATCCCTCCCCCCAAGTCCACGCCACTATTCAGCCTTCACTCTGGACTTCTGTAATGACAAGAATACCCATTCGTGTGTCCCTTTTAAACGGTTCTCTCCCTTGTCTGTTTCAATGGAATAGAAATATCCTCAACCAGATAGATTGACACAGTGACTGCTGCAATGTGCTCAAGTGTGTCAGAAATAATAAGGATGACACTGGATAGAACATTGTTCAAATCTATTGTTCATAGGGTAGCTATGAGTCATACTCAATTCAACAGCACCTAATAACAACAACAATAGTAACAAATACTGCATAGGTTGGAACTGCAGTTAGCAGCTGAGAGTGTTTATTATTTTCATCATTCAAGGAGTCCTGTACAGTAATGTTGTTGTTGTTGTATACCATGGAATCAGAACCAACTTATAGCTGACCCTCCAGTGGGTTTTCAGAAGCAGTAAATTGTACAGGTGGAGAATGCCCATCTTTTCCCCACTGAGCATATTGTAGATTCAAACCATGTACCTTTGGGTTGGCAGCACATTTACTTGTCACTAAGCCACCAGAGCTCTCTTTTACAGTTACAGTGATTGCAATAATAATATTAGGTTCACGGAGAATGTTTAAGTGTTAATCAGGTCCTGCTGCAAAAAATATTTGGTTGGACCATTAGGTTTCAACGGGGGAAGGTTTGCCCTCCAGAAGGAATTTGGCAATGTTAGAGCCATTTTTATTATCACAACTTGGGATGCTAGTAAGCAGAAGCCAAATATCCTGTAGTGCATAGGACAGTCTCCTACAACAAAGAATTCTATTTCCCAAAATATCCAAGGAGGCATTCTTCAGAAAGCCTGGGTGGCACAGTCCCAGAATGCCTGCATGCTCTAAGGGCCCAATCACCTCTCCTCTTGAGAGACAGTCAGGAAAAATACAAGCAGGAGCAATCCCCTTCATTGCTACTGAGTCGGAACTCACTCATAGATGGCCCTCCAATGGGTTTTTCAGAGGCTATAAATTGCACAGGAAGAAATCATACATCTTTCTCCTGAGGAGCAGCCAGTGGATTCTTACTGCCTGTCATTGGATTGGCAGGGCAGCTCCTTACCCACAAGGCCACCAGAGCTCCCTAACAGAAACATTAGTAAAGGAAAAGAAATTGCCCATGTAATTAGCTATACTTGACCTTGATTCCTTTATGAGGAGCAGTCTGATAAACTGAGCTAAGGAATGTGACTGAAGTCAGAGGATCTAAGGGGTCTCCACCTTCCCTGGAGCTCAAACTCAAAATGTCACACACAACCAACCAGCTGCAAATAGAGGAACATACCAGGTAAAAAAGAGAAACACACCCAATAGTCCTCATGTCCAGGCCTAGATCTTGACATTTTCCCTATATGGAAGCAACAGAGAGAGCTACTGTCACTATACACGAGCTCATGAACTTCCACTACAGAAAAAAGTTTACAGACCAATGAATGTATTTCTCCAATCAAATTCACATTTTCTTTTATGAAGAGGAGCAAGAATAAAGGTAGAGATGAGACAGGGAGGTAGATAAAATTCTTTTCCTTAAACTTTGAGGTCTCCTATGAAAAACAGTTGTGATGATACTTTTTATTTCTTAGTGTGACTGACATGAGGCAAGCCTTATAATTATTCATAATTGACAATTGTTTCCCTTGTCAGGTTTATCTTTTATAAGCTACCTAAAAGGCAAAAAGAGACTGGATTAGAATACCTGTACCTAGACTCTACAACTAGAAACTGGAAGAGGAGTAAGCAACTAATGAATGCCACCAAGAGTGTTTTGGGAAGGACATTACAGCAGTTATATGAAGTATATGCCTCCAAGGTATGTATTAGCTAAACATTCAATTAAATCATAACATATGCATAAAATAGAATCCAAAGCTTCTAAAATATTTTCCCCTATTAATTTTCCAACCCCTTAACATAACATCTTTAAGTAAACTAATTCAGAATTAGCCCAAGACAACCATCTGAGCCAATCTTATCAAGACTTCAGGGAATATGCAACACACTCCACAGCAATGTCAAATTGTTAGCACATTAGCCACCAAGTCTAATGATATGACTGGACAGGGTATGTATTAATCACATTTAAGTATACAAATACTTAAAACTCCTGTCAATTTACTCATTTTTTTCATTTAATTTTAGCTCATCTGATTTAATCTATATAACTTGGTCCATAGATTTTAATGCATCAAAATGACACATTTATTCATCTCAAAGAAATAGAGATTACTCTCCTGTCACAATGGAACAGAGACTAATGAATTAATACAATCAGACATTATGGGTTGTACTGGCTCACATAAAGGACCCCTATCGGTCTTCCTTTTGGTTATTTTCTAATGGTGGATTGAGAGCCAAGGGTCTCAAAGCCTTAAAGCTAACTTGCCTGGATGGAAATGACCCTGTTATCTGAACTTCACAAACCAAAGAGCTAGCCAGTAATAGATAATGAAAGCCACATAATTCAGACATAGGTGGATGGCTTGTAAGTAGGCTTCCTGGCTCAATATGGGCAGCCTCCCAGCATCCCACACAACCATCTGCTGTTCAATGACAAGATTATTGCTTTCCAATCAGGGATGACAAGTAAAGCCAAGCAATAATTGACATCCTGTTACTCATTTCTGCATTTCCAAACAATACCTTATAGAGAAGGAAGCAAAGAAGATGATGAAGCACTTATAATGTGCTAAGCTTTCTGCTGGGTCTTCACCTATGTCAACTAATTCAGCCTTCAGCACTGCTACTGCACAAGCACGTCTGAATATTTACTCAACACATAAAGGGAGCGGCCACTATGTGTGGTCATATCTTATTCACTATCATCACTTTTCAGAGTCAAGTTACAAAATTATAAAGGATTAATAGAATCTTTGAATGTGTAGATGTGCCAAGTGTTTTAAAAGATTATTTCATGAAGGAGCTTTGGTGGCCTAGTGGCAAGAAGCTGAGCTGCAATCCCAAATGAACGCAGTTCGAATCCACCAGATGCTCCACTGGTGAAGAAGGGGCAGTCTCCTCCTTTGACAGTTGGAGCTGACTTGACGGTACACAACAACAACAACAACAAAAATTATTTCATAGCGTTTCAACCACAGCCCTACTCTGAATAAAGATATTTTTCTTTGAAATTATAACTGCTTGCAACTGCTGAGGATACGGAGCATAATCCAACAGAGATTAAAAAAATATTAAAAATCACCTGCCTCAAAAACAAAAGTCAACAAGATTTCCTTCTTCATTACAAAGTCCACATGCTCCAGGAGGAAGGGGAAAGTAACATCTTAAAGCCTCTGCCATTACGCTATATTGGTTTTTAGTTTGGCAGAATACAATCGATCTTTGGCAAAGCAGAGGTTGCTCCAAGATTCTATGCAAGAGAGAGAGCTTGACTGCTCACAAAGCAAGCAAGCAAACAAACCAAAAAAGTAGAGGGGAGTCAGAGATTTTCAAATGTGAGAAACCTAGAAGGAGACTGGTAGGGAACAAGACAATTTAGTAGTCACAAATCCTTCAATAATCTCAGGCCTTCAGTTAAATCTGCTCATCCACAAATGTCTTGACTTGAGTGCTTCTGTGAAGAAAATGACAGCAAAGGACTTATGCCCATATCTGATGGTAATGGAGCCAAAAGAAGAGGCCAACAGCAGGAAGTGGCATCCAGATGAACATGAATGTTCCTTTAAAGTTGGAACTGTTGTTGTTATGTGACATCAAGTTGGAACCAACTCACAGCTGACCTGACATCTGATTTTCAGATGCTGATAATGGCACAGGAGTAGATTATCCATCTTTCCCCTCTAGAGGAGCTGGTGTATGCAAAACACCTGACTTCTTACCCACTACAGAACAGCATCAGAACTCCTGAAGTTGGAACCATGAGCCAGAAGTGACTGAGAATATTACTACTATAGCCATCTCTTCACCTGAAATCGAATTTGTGATAAAATGAGATTAGTTAGTTTTAAATATCAAGTGTCAAGGTGACCCAAGTCAATATATGGGTTTCATTTGGAATTATTTTCCCCCTTTTGCAAATAAGAAAATTGGCTTTGCAAATAAGAGCCATTCATAGATAGTTAAAATGTCTTTGTTGCAATTGTTATGCACTGTCGAGTCAAAACTGACTCGTAGCTGACCCTCTACCAGGTTTTCAGAGGTATCTCATTGCACAAGAGAAGATTGCAATAATAATACATATCAAATGGCATGGTAGTGGCCTAAACTTGTCCATATTCTCTACTAGCTTGAAGGCAAACACTATACCCTTACCGTGTCCAGTAACCAAAACAATACCCAACTTAGGCATTAAAGGAATTAAATTGCATAAAAGCACCCACCTAGATCTACCTTATTCTTAAGTCCAAGATCTGTCAAATCACCTTTCTTTACACCAGGGTTACAATCTACTTAAATTTAGTGAGTCATCAAACTGCTGGTTAAAATAGTAGCCTTCATCTACTCTAAGAACAAACTTCCTCTCCTAGCTTGTCAAAGCCTCTGCACATTGCACCCAGGGGTGCACAGCAGCCCCATTACTACATCGAGAACAGGTCCACAGAAGAATTGTCAAAGTTCTCCAGGGAAAGTGGATATGAATGCCATTCAGCAGCATGATCAATCATGGAAAATGAGAGTAAGAAAAAAATATAACTTCCTGGATATTATGAAACATAGTGGCCAATAATGCTACACAGGCGATTTCATGTCTATTTTTTAAATTACACCAAATAATTAAGCAACTTTGAGGGATTCATGTATTGACTACCTGCTATCCACCAATAGAAAAGCAAGGACCTTTTTAAGGAAGTGAATATTTTTTCATATTTTTAATTATATCACTGAGGCTTTTAAATATTAATAATATTGACCTCAATAAAAATCACCACATCATGTCACAAATGAAACAGAGCACACTTAGAGCAGACTAGCAGACATGGCACCTGAAACTGAGTCCTCAAATTTGGAAACAAAAAAACAGGTGAAAGTAGACACTAATGATTGGAATGTGGAAAGGGAGAAGCATGAATGTAGGAAATGTGTAGGAATGTCAGAAAATAGGACATCATTAAGAAATAAAGGTGGTGGTTGTTGTTATGTGCTTGCGACTCATAGTGACCCAATGTACAATAGCTCTAAACTCTGCTCTGTCCTGTGCCAGTCTCATTGTCTAAGACACACTCATCCTGATTGTCCCAGTCACCGAATCAATCTACCTCCCAGAAGGCCTTCCCTTCCTGTGCCTGCCCTCCACCCTCCCAAGGATGATGCTCTTTGTCAAGGACCGGTCTCTCCTTACAACATGAACAAAGTATGTCAGACGAAGCCTCAGAATCCTTGCCTCCAAGGAGCAGCCAGGTTTAACCCTCTCCAGGACAAATCTGTTTTCTTAGCAGTCCATGGTACCCTCAACAGTCTTCTCCAACACCAAAGCTCAAAAACATCAATTATCCTTCTATCCTTCCTGGTCATTGTCCAGCTCTCTGACGTATAACAAGTGATTGCAAAGACCATGGCCTGTACCAGACGCACCTTAGTCTCCAGAGACACACTGTTGCTCTTGAGTACTTTAGAGAGGTCCCTAACAGCAGACTTTCCCCATGGCAATACGTCTTTTAATTTCCTGGCTGCTTGTGCCAAGAGTGTTGATTGCGGAGTCAAGCAGACTAAAGCTATGAACAATCTCAAGCTCTTCACCGTCCATGCTGATGCTGCCAATTGGTCCAGTGGTGAGAATCTTTGTCTTCTTGACATTGAGCCTCAATCCATACTGAAGGCTGCAGTCCCTGACCCTCAGCAGCAAGCGCTTCAGGTCCTCCTCAGTTTCAGCAAGCAGGGTTGTGTTGCTCAGCATTTCTTAAGCTCAAGGAACTGAAGAACAAATTCAAACCTCGATTTGCTATAATCAAGGACGCTTTAGGAAGAGTATTAAATGATCCAGGAAGTATCAAAAAAAGATGGACTATACTGAGTCATTGTATCAAAAGGAATTGGCAGACACAGAAGAATTTAATGAAACCACATATGAGCAAGAGCCTATGGTGATGAAGGAAGAAGTTCAAGCTGCTTTGAAGGAAATAGCAAAAAATAAGGCCTCAGGAATAGATGGTATACCAATCGACATATTTCAGCTAACAGATGCTGCCATAGACGTGCTCTCCAAGGTTTGCCAAGAAATCTGGAGAACAACCACTTGGCCAACTGACTGGAAGAGATCTATATTTGTTCCTATTCCAAAGAAAGGTGGCCCAACAGAGTGTGGCAACTATAGAACAATATCGTTCATTTCACATGCAGGCAAGATTCTGCTGAAAATTATCCAAAAATTACTGCAACAGCACATCAGCAGAGAACTGCCAGAAGTCCAGGCATGGGACATTTTTAATCAATCATATTATCTACTATGCAAGAGATGAAAAGATGAGAAAAAATCGGTTTGTTTTCATAGTTGCAAAGGTTATTTCTAGATCCATCTTGAAATACAATGTTGTAGCAAGAGGAAAGTAAGCATATGCTTACAAGGAAATCTGGTGAATACCGCCATCATTAAAATATATGCACCAACCACCAGAGCCAAAGCGGAGGAATAGGTTATTTCTACCAACTTTTGCAGTCAAAAATCGATCAAACATGCAACCAAGATGCATTAATAACAATGGGTGACTGGAATGTAAAAGTTGGAAACAGGGAAGAAGGATCAGTAGTAGTAAAACATGGACTTGGTGACGGAAATGAGGCTGGGGATTAAAATGATAGAATTCTGTACAATTAATGATTTCTTCATTGCAAATACCTTTTATAAGAAACATAAACACAGACTATACACATGGATTTCACCTGATGGTATGCAGAGGAATCAGATCAATTATATCTGTGGAAAGAATCATTGGAGAAACTCGATATGAGCAGTGAAAACTAGGCCAGGTACTGATTGTGGAACAGATCACCAACTATTCATAAGCAAGTTCAAATTGAAGCTAAAAATAATAAAATCAAATCCATAGGAACCAAAGTTTGACTTTGAGTCTATCTCACCTGAATTGTAAGACTATCCAGGTCTTGAACACTAATGAATGAAGACCAGACGAGTTGTGGTAGAATATCAAGAATATCATCCACAAAGAATGCAAAAGGTCATTATAAAGACAGAGGAGGAAGAAAAGACTGAGATGGCTATCAGACAAGACACTGAATATTGCACAGTGCTGAGAAGCCAAAGCAGAAGGAAAAAAGCAGGAAGATAAGGAGCTGAAAATAAGATTTCAAGGGTGACATGGGAAAACAAAGCAATGTGAAATGTGCAAAGAGATGGAGTCAGAAAATGGCCCCAAAGGGCTGAACTCTCTCAGCACCTTTTATCCTGGAGAAACTAAGAACTAATTCAAGCTTCAAGTTTCAATACTTAGGGACACTATGGGAAGAATATTGAGTAATCCAGGAAATATTTTAAAAGTTGGAAAGATCCTCCCCATTTCCTCTAGGAAATGGGGAGGATCTTTTGTGAAAAACAATGTATTCAAACTTTGTAAATAATTCAGAATAAACACACACACACACACACAAACACACACACACACAAACACACACACACACACACACACACACACACACACACACACGACAATGTACAGAAATGATTGTATGAAAATAAATGTACATGAATGAAACAATGTATATGAATAATTGTATGAAAGTGAATGATGGGACAAGTAATAATAAATTTTAAAAAAAGAAGTTGGAAGGAATATACAAAGTTACTAAAAAGAATTGGCTGCTGACACAGAAGAATTGCATGAAACAACATATGATCAAGAGACAATGGTTATGAAGGAGGACATTCAAGCTGCTTGGAAGGAACTGGCAAAAAACAAGGCCCAGGGATTGATGACATACCAATTGACATATTTCAACAAACAGATGCTACACGGATGTGCTCACCAGGTTATGCCAAGAAATCGGGAGAAAAATTACCTAGCCAACTGGCTGGAAGAAATCCTATTTATTCCCGTTCCAAAAAAAGATGACCCAAGAAAGTGTGAAAATTAACATACAATATTACTAATGTCACATGCAAGCAAAAGCCTGTTGAAGATTATCCAAAAAATGACTGGAACAGCACATCAACAAAGAACTACCAGAAATACAAGCTGGGTTTAGATTAGATTGTGGTATTAGAGCTATTGTTGCCAATGTTAAATAGATCTTAGCCCCCCGCCCCAAACAAAGTACCAGAGGAATGTCTATCTGTGTTTCATTGACTATGCAAAGGCATTTGGCTGTGAGGATCACAACAAATAAATAAAAAACCTTGAGGTGAATGGAAATCTCTGAACACTTGTTTGTACTCATGCAAAACCTATACTCAGACCAGGAAGCAGTCCTCAGAACAGAGTAAGAAAACGCTACATGAGTCAAAGTCAGGAAAAGAGTATGTCAGATATGTGTCTTGTCTCCATATCTTTTCAATCTATATGCAGAATAGATCGTTCAGGAAGGCTGGACTTATAAGGAGGAATGTGGCATCAGGATTGGAGGAAGATACATCAACAACCTGCATTATGCAGATGACACAACCTTGCTTGCTGAAACTTGAAGTGCTGTAGTCTTCAATATGGATTGAAGCTCAACATCAAGAAAACAAAGATTCTCACCACTGGGCCAATTGGCAGCACCATAAGAGATGGAGAAAAAAAAATAAGGTTGTTAACAATTACAGCTTACTCAGCTTCACAAATAAACACTTTAGGCACCAGCAGTCAGGAAATCAAAAGATGAATTGAACTGGGAAAATCTGATGTCGGGAGAAAATCTCAGTCTAGAGACTAAGGTGTATCTGATCCAAACAATGGTCTTTGTAATTACCTGCTATGTGTCAGAGAGCTGGACAATGACTAAGGATGACAGGAAAAGAATCAATGTCTGAGTTGTGATGCTGGAGAAGACTACTGAACACACTGAACACACTATGGACTGCCAAGAGAACAAATAGGTCTATCTTGGAGAGGGTGAAATCAAGTTTCTCCTTGGAAACTAGGATTTTGAAGCTCCATCTCACAGACTTTGGCATGTGGCCAGTAAGAACCAGTCCTTGGAGACAGACATCGTTCTTGGAAGGGTGGAGGGACAGCACAGGAGAGGAAGACCCAGGATGAAACAAATTGACAAAATAACTGGGGTAGTGGGGGTAGGTGTGTCTGAATCAACGAGACTGGCTCAGGATAGGGCAGGTTACAGAGCTGTTGTACACAGAGTTGCAGGTGACTCAACAGTACATAAAAACAACAACAACAACAAAACAAATATAAACAAGTTTCCAAACCATAGCAAAGGGATGCTATGAAAATAATAGCTTCATTTTAACTTAATTATTAATTCATTTTGACATTTGGGCAGCTATTTGGAGAACTTGTTGTTATTATTTTGCCTGATCAGAGGAAATTCAGTAACCCATGTGCAATTTTATCACCTTTGTAAGCTGAGAAACATCTAGTTAGAAAGAAGTGACTCTGAGAAGTGGATTGAAGAAAAATCCCCTCACGTGGAAAGTAGAGGGAGCAGATAGTGAGGAATTCTGATTAATTACAAGCTTAGCCAAGCAGCAAAGCACAAAGTAGACAGAGGAAATCAGATCCTGACAGGCAATTCTGTGTTGTATCTACTACAATATTAACTGGAAAAACTCAAGTGTATTCTTTGGCTGGTTGTACCTACTTAATTTCCTGAATAAATATTTAAGTATTCTTTTATTATACACTGGTTACTTAATCAGAAACCTAGGTCCAAAACCACCAAGGGAAGTAGTGATATCATCTTCATAAGTCATCTCACAATGCATGGGGCTCCTGTCACAAGAATACATCGTACATGGTTGAGAATATACTTTCTTTCCTCTGCTTTGTGTTTATAGAATTTATAGTGATGGGCAAGTTGCCTGTCAGGGGAAAAGACATGTTTTAATGAAAGCTCTGTATTGTAGAGTTATCAGAAATGTGAATGTATGTGAGAGGAAGATTTATGGTATTATAATCTTACTTTGTTCCTACAGAGTAACAACACAGCCTATCTCATATACAATGATGGAATCCCTAAATCTCACAGTTACAATAGAAAGTATGGACACACCAAAGGTATGACAGAGGTTCTTAGCTTCCCTTTTCTACTGAAAATCAACAAGATTTTGTTAACATTTCATCATAAATATTTTTATATTCTACTATGAAAAGATAACATAGCTTTTCTTTTCAGTGGCTTATACTTAATCATTAAAATTTGTTATTTCCATATCAGACGTCATATTATTCTTTGTATTGGTGATTCCCTTTTTCACAAATTCCATTCTACTTCTTAGCACATACATATATTTTTTAGCACATATATTTTTTAGATAATATACCCTGTAGTGTAAATGATTATTGGGAATATCAGTCACTGCAAATGACTACCAGGAATACCAGGGCCATCAAGTCAATAACAGTTCATAGCCACCTGACCATGTGAACAACAGCTCAGAACTGTGCCTTATTCTGTGCCATCCTCCAGATCTCCACCATATTCAAGCCGATTGTTGCAGCCTCTGTGTCAGTTCATTTTGCTAAGGTCTTCCTCTACTCTCTGTTACTGTGGTTATGTGCCAACAAGTCAGAATCAACTCATAGCTGACCCTCCAATGGGTTTTCAGAGGCTGTAAAATAACAAACAAGGAGACTGCTTACTTTTCTCCTGCTGAGCAAATAGTAGATTTCGTCATGTGTCTTTGGGTTGGTAGCACAACTCCATACCACTAGGTCACCAGAGCATGTGATTTCTCATACTCCGCTTATAACCGAAAGGTTTCAGTTCACCAGAGGCTACTCAGAAAAAACGGGTGGAAATATTAAAAATCAGCCCTAAGGAGAACACTTCCACTCTGACACTTCTACTCATGAGGTCACCCCTGAGTTGGGACTGACTATGAAAATTTACTATCAGGGACCTCTCCATAATGCATATCAATCTAGAGTCTAAGATGTGCCTGATCCAGGCCATGGTATTCTCAATTACTTGCGATGCATCAGAGAGTTGGGCAATGATCAAGGATGAATGATACCTTTTGAGTTATGGCGCTGGAGAAGAGTACTCAACATACCATGGACTACCAAGAAAACTAACTGGTCTATACTGTAGAGGGTGAAACCAAGCTGCTCCTTGGATGGAAAGATTTTGAGACTTTGCCTCACATCCTTTGGGCATGTACTCAGGAGGGACCAGTCTTTGCAGAAGGACATTCATGCTTGGAAGGGTGGAGTGCCAATGCAGGAGAGGAAGACCCCGGATGAGATGGATTGACACAATAACTGGGGTAATGAGAGTAGATCTATCAGACCGTGAAATAGTCTCAGGAGAGAGCATGGTTCAGAGCTGTTTTGCATGGGTTTGCCATGAGTCATAGTCGAGTCAATGGCATGTAACAACCACGCATATGTACATTTAGCATCTTAGCTTAACTAAAAGAGTCCTCACTTGTACTGAGTTCATTCTGCCCCAAAGAAGCCCTCCATTTGTTTTCCAAGGCTGTAAGTCTTTATGGGAGGAAACTGATCATCTTTTTCTCATGGAGTGAGTTGTAGATTTGAATTGTCAAGCTTTTGGTTAGCAACCCAACATAATTATGTTGAGTAAAAGTCACTGTTCTTAGTGTATTTATTAGTTCTATTTGAATGAAATATTTTAATAAGATTGTTTTTGAAGTTGGTGATTTTGGTCTTTCTTGTTTATAAAATATGTTTCAATACATTTTCATTATAGAACATTTCAAAACACAGGTAAAAAGCCATAACCCAAATACTTGTTACTGTATGTCATAGAGTCAGAAACAACTCACAGCTGACCCTCCAGAAGGTTTTCAGAGTCAGTACTTGGACCAGGCGACAGTGGTCAGAACAGAGCAAGGAAACACTGCATGGGTAAAAGTTGTGAAGGATGTATGCCAGGAAGGTATCCTATCTCCATGCCTCTTCAATCTATATGCAGAACACATTATCTAGTAGGCTGGACTCTATGAGGACAAATGTGGCATCAGGATTGGAGGGAGACTTCTCAACAATTTCTATTATGCAGATGACACAACCCTGCTTGCTGAAACTGAGGAGGACCTGAAGCACTTGCTGCAGAAGGTAAAAGACTGCAGCCTTCAATATGAATTGGAGTTCAATATCAAGAAAACAAAGATTCTCAGTACTGAGCTAATTGGCAGCATCATTATAGACAGGGAAGAGATTGATATTGTTAATAGCATTAGTTTGCTTGGCTCCACGATTAACACTCTTGGTACCAAGAATAATTTCACTGGGAAAGTCTGTTGTGAAAGACCTCTACAATGTACTGAAGAATGGCTATGTCAGTCTGGAGAAGACTAAGGTGCGCCTGATCCAGGCCATGGTCTTTGCAATTACTTGCAATGCATCAGAGAGCTGTACAATGACTAAGGATGACAGAAGGTGAATGGATGCCTTTGAGTTGTGGTGCTGGAAAAGAATATTGAATATACCATGAACAGCTAGGAGGACAAACAGGTTTATCCCAGAGAGAGTGAAACCAGGCTTCTTCTTGGAGGCAAGGATACTGAAGTTTCATCTGATATACTTTAGACATGTTGCAAGAAGAGACCAGTCCTTGGAGAAGGGCGTCATGCATGGGAGGGTAGAGGGACAGTGCAAGAGAGGAAGACCCTCTCTGAGATAGATTGATTCAGAGGGACAGTGCAAGAGAGGAAGACCCTCTCTGAGATAGATTGATTCAGTGACTGGGGTAATGAGGGTAGACGTGCCAGAGACGAGGTTGGCACAAGATAGAGGCGGATTTAGGGCTGCTGTACATAGAGTTTCTATGAGTCGCAAGCAACTCACCAGCACATAACAACAATAAATCAGATAGGAGAAGATTGCCCATCTTTCTCCCACAGAGCAGCTGGTGGACTCAAACTACATGCCTTTGGTGTTGTAGCACAGCTTCTTAGCAGTAGGCAACCAGAGCTCCCTTATTTAAGCCTCTTTATTTTTTCTATAATATATTTTTAAAACCATTTCATTGAAATATTGCAATGACTATTTTCCCCAGTATTTTCTAAGCATATATCATAAATAACTTTCCATTGCAATAAGTATTTTTTTAGAAGATCCCAAACTCAAATGCTTTCAGGAAGCAGGCATTCATTTTAAGCAGAGTGACGTGGGCTGGCCTATTGTGCAGTTGTAGAGAATTGGAGTATGCATGAGAATGATTTGATCTGTGGGCTGCCAGTTGGCAGCCTCTGGTTAAGAACAGCCTCGTAATTCGTGAGTGTCAAAGGGCAGCTTTGGCGGCCAAGTGGCAAGAAGATGCATTGCAATCCCAAAGTTATGTGGTTCGAGGCCACCAGCTGATCTACAGGAGAAGGATGGGAAATCTCCTTTTGTGAGATTAACTGCCTCTGCAAACCAGAGAGTCAGCTATGGGTTGGTTCCTACTGTACAGTACCCAACAACAACAAAGGGCAGAAGAAGCTCTTGTGAGTAGTTAGACTAATATGCTGTCCTGCTAACCACAAAGCTAGTGGTACAAATACATTACTGCTCCAAAAGAAAAATATTTACAACCTTAAAAACCCTATGGAGGGTCACTGTGAGTCAGAATAAACTCAGGAACAGTAGGTGGATAAAAGAACATGAGCCTTTAAGTTGTTCTCATGATTGGAGTCCTTGGGTGGTACAAATGATTAACAAGCTTGGGTGGTAACTAAAAATGTCGGAAGCTTCAATTTAAGAAAGGTCTGGCAGGCACTCTGCTTTCAATTAAAACTCTGTACAATTCCACTCCTACACACATGAGGTTGCCATGGGTTGGGGTCAACTTTATGATAACTGGTTTGGTTTAGACGTTTGCTGTCCCTTGAGGTAACCCTCCACATGTAACCTAAATATTATAGCATGTCATGTTCTTTAACCTTTCATCCATAAATCTCTGACCACAGTTCTTACCCCCAGCCCATTAGAAGCTACAAGGATTTGAGGGGGGAAAACTGGAAAAAGTGAGGCCTGGAGTCAAATTGGGGAATTCTCCTTCCCAGCAGATGTTTTATTATCCTGAGGAATTTATTTGTACCATGAGGCTAGGATTTCAGCAAAAAAGAGACTAATCTAGCAGACGTGCTCTCTAGAAGGTCACAAGCTCTGTTAGGTAACACAATTTGAACATAGCCAATCTGGTATACAACACAGGTATCGATCTCTTGGTGTCCTACAAGAGAGTATTAGTTCACTTTCCTAATATGTGTTCTTTGAAAAGAAACATTTTTTTAAGAATTTGCTTTCACCTTTAGCAATAAAGCAAACATGAATTGATTTTAACTTTTCATGCTCTTGTGCAAACTGAGCAGTCTAGCAACCTTATCACAACTATCCTGGTATATATATAAACACATAAAGAATCACAGGCACTCATGGGACAGGGATCTTTTTGCTGTGTCACAAGATAATGATCCTCCTGTGTTCTTCCTTTCTGCCTCTCGCATTTTTTTTTTTGCTGTGCAATTTTTGCTAAACAGTTAATTGGGATGCTTTCATATCACTTCCTCTTTTTCCCCTTTGCCTCTTTTTTTGGCCTTGTGGGATTAAGGGCTTCCTCTGCCACAGAAATGAGCATCATTTTCCTATAGTAAATCGCTGCAAGAATATTTCTTCACTTGATATTTTCTCTCCTAACTCTAATTTTTAGCCAGTTTTGAAAATAGCTTTGCTGCTGAACAGTAAAATTTCTCTTCAAGGTTTGGCAGGTGATTGCATAGTGTAACAAAGTCAAATTCTAATTTATCAAATTTTCCTTCTGCTAGAGAAAATTCTTCTTGTGATTTCAACATGAGATTCCTCTTACCTTTTTTCAGGTTGACTCTACTGGTTCCCCCTTTTGTGATGGTTTATTATCAATAATCAGACAATGTGGTGTGTGCTTAAGTTGTTTTTGAAGTCTTTGAAAAATGTTTATGGTGCTTGTGATTATTAACCTATTAAAAGCGTTTGCCTACAACATAATAAAGCTTAAATGTTGCAGCTTTGAACTCTATTTTTGAAAGGAGCTTTGTTTTTCTAATTTATCTGTATTTAACTATGTATTTGGTAGGTTTACTGCTGTGGAACAGAGTTCAGGGGTTCTGGCTGATTCATTCTATTCCCCGGTTCCCTCCAATTCCTGAAGAAGGCTATGATTATCCACCCACGGGGAGACGGAATGGACAAGTTGGCATCTGTGTAACTTTCAAGTACAACCAGTATAAAGCAATAGGTAACATTAGAGTGTGTTAAAAGAAGAGAGATTGCAGTGCTGAATAAGGGAAGGAATTGGCAAATGTATTAACAAATTTGTCACGTAATATTCTGTTTCTAGATTCTAATAATGAGTTTGCCACCAGCAGGCTTACTTACATTGGTGATTCCTTGATCCCCACTGAAGTCACTGAACTTGATCAGGAGACATTGTTGTTATTATTGTCAGGGGTATTTTAGCCATTTTTGACCCTGTTTAACAATCCCATGTGTCAGCATAGTACTATGCCCAGGGTTCTCTTGGTTGTGATCTTTATAAAGCAGATCATCATGTCTCTGTCCCACAGAGCTGCTGGGTGGATTAAAACAAGCAATCTTGTCAAATAACAGCTAAATGATTGAATTTGTCACCACCAGATTTCCTTTCATCAGAATTTTTTATGTCTACATAAGCTAGATAGGTTACAAGATGGATAAAAGAGAAAGGCAGACATGGCACGGTCACATTCGCTCAAACGTCTCAGCTCTGTCATATTTTAAGTCTGCAAGAATGTAGATCTAATAGTTACAGATGTCTAGACCTATCAAGAGGAAACGTAAATCTAGGTCTTTGTGTGTTTAAGGAGAGGGAGAGAGAGAGAGAGAGAGAGAGATCCTGATTTTTTTAAATTTTATTAATTTTAATGAACATTTACAGAGATTTTGAATTTCCATTCATTAATTGTTGCACTTTTCTCCCAGCGCCCCCTCCCCTCAGTCCTCTCCTCTCTTTGAAAAGTAAAAGAAAAATTCCTTCATTGGTATGCAATCCTCCTGCACCCTCCACCCACCACTACTACCCCAAGTACACTCCACTGTGCAACCTTAATTCTGGAATCCTGTGATAACCATAATTCCCTATCATATATAGGTTTTTAAATTGTTCTCTCCCTCATCTGTTTCAATGTAGTATAGATAATTGATCCAGTTTTACTCAGTCTTACCCCAACCCTGATGTCAGTCCCATTCTATAACAGTAGCACCATGCAGTATTTGTCCTTTTGTGACTGAGATACATCACTCAGCATAATGTCCTTCAGGGTCACCCATTTTGAATAATATTGCATGAGTTCCTTGTTTTTCAAGGCAGCATAGTATTCCATTGTGTGACTATACCACAGCTTCTCTATCCATTCATTTTTTAGGGTACTTGGGTTTTTTCCAACTCCTTGCTATTGTGAACAAAGCCGCGATAAACATGGGTGTGCATATATCTGCTTGGATGTCAGTTATGGTCTCGTTTGGGTATATTCCCAGTAGTGGAATTGCTGGGTCAAATGGTATCTCCATTCGCAACTTTTTGAGAAAGTGCCATATCTCCTTCCATAGTGGTTGCACCATTTTACACTTCCACCAACAGTGAATAAGGGTTCCAGTTTCTCCACAACCTCACCAGCATTTGTTGCTTGTTGTTCTGTTAAACTTTGCTATTCTGACTGGGGTGAGATGATATCTCATAGTTGTTTTGAACTCCTGATTTTTTAAACGTAGGTTCATCTTATGTTCTAAAAAAGGTACACATCACTTGTTGCCTATAGACTGAGATCCTTTAAGATCTTGAATGGACCTAGATGCTTAGCTCTGGCAAGCTGGAGTGGAAGAGGAGGAAGGGCAGGAATACTGATTTACCAATCACCTTTTACTGAAGAGAGGAACCCTAGTGGCATAGCAGATTAAAAACTGATGCTAACAGAAATGTCAGTAGTTAGAAATGATCAGTGGCTCTTTAGATGAAAGATGAACCAGTCTGTTTCTGTTAAGATTTACAGCCTCAGAAACCCAGTAAAAAGTCACCATGAGTTTTATTTGATTCCACAACAGTGGATTTGGTTTTGGTTTTTAGTTTTACCAAGTTTTGCTAGTTTTACTAGTTTTGCTAAGTAGAAGCTTCTAGGTAAAACAAAATTGGGAAAATGTTTTTCTTTAAATTTTCATATTACGATCACTAAGGTTCTCAGAGTTTATCCTAAGTCAAACGTTAGCCTAACTATTTTGATTCATGTGATAATTAGAACTATAAATAGCGGAAAGCTTAAGCGTGTAGTCTGTGAGTTAATTCTTAAAACATGATGATTGATACATATGAGTGCTCTGCTTTTATATATTATACTTTGGGGCTGGGGCATGTGACCTTCAAGGTCAGACTACCTGAGTTTGAATAGCACCTCCATCATTTACAAGCTTTTTAATCTTAGACATGTGGTGTAAACACTCAGTTAATTCAGCTATATAATGACGATAATGGTAACAAGAGAATCTGCTTAGTCGTAAGATTATAATAAGGATTAAATTAATTAACTTGAGTAAATAAACTCAGACCACATCTGGCAAGTAGGAAGTGCATAGTGTCAGCTAGGCCGACTAAAATTCATTTGAAAACCATGAGATATCATCTCACCCTAGTCAGAATAGCAAAATTTAACAGAATAGCAAGCTACAAATGCTGGAGAGGTTGTGGAGAAACTGGAACCATTAGTCACTGTCGGTGGGAGTGTAAAATGGTGCAACCACTGTGGAAGGCGGTATGACGCTTTCTCAAAAAGTTGCAAATAGAGATACCATTTGACATAGCAATTCCAATACTGGAAATATACCCCAAAGAGACCATAACTGACATCCAAGCAGATATATGCACACCCATGTTTATCGCAGCTATGTTCACAATAACAAGGAGTTGGAAACAACCTAAGTGTCCATCACCAAACGAATGGATAGAGAAGCTGTGGTATATTCACACAATGGAATACTATTGCTGCATTGAAAAACAAGGAACTTATGCAATATTATTCAAAGTGGGTGACCCTGGAGGACATTATGCTGAGGGAAGTATCTCAGTCAAAAAGGACAAATACTGCATAGTGCCACTGTTGTAAAACAGGAGTGACATTGGGGTTGGGGGGAGACTGAGAAAGATAGGTTTAATAATGTATACTGCATTAAAACAGATGAGAGAGAAAACTATTTAAAAGGGATATGTGATTAAGTATTTTTGTCGTGACAGGAGTCCAGCGCAAAGGTTTCATAGTGGAGTGGACCTGGGAGGAGGGATTGTAAAACAATGAAAGAATTTCTCTTTTACTTTTCCAAGAGGGGAGTATACTGGGGGGAGGGTTGGGAGGGAGAAAAGTACAATGAATGAATGGAAATTTTTTAAAAAAGAGTGATTTTCTGTTTTGGTTTGTTTTGCACCTTTACTTCACAGCAAACTGTATCAAACAGATGTTTCCTTTTATGCCTTAACTCTCAAACCTTTCGTTATTGACACTTGTTTCAGATTATCAGCTCTTGATCTACAACCCAAATGTGTACAGCTGCTCCGTCCCAGACACCTTTCTCCAGGAGCTCACTCACATGCCCCAGCTGTGCGCTAGGTCTGGCAGCACATCGGTGACCCCTCTCCGGAAGCTCGCCACGTTTCAGTCAGCCCAGGGAAAAAACTTCCTCCATTTTGCAAAGTCTGATTCTTTTAATGACGGTATGAAAGACCACCATCAAACAGTATGCTACATAGCTGTTGTTGAATCATTTGGCATTGCTTAGAGAAGTTACTCTAATTATTCAGAGGAGTGAAATGAAAAAAGAAGGAAAGGAATGGGAAAGGAGAAGGGAAATCAAGGACCAACTCACACATTTACCTGCTCAATTTCCATAGCAGGGTTGCTGATCCAACTACAAACAGTTTCTCAGTCAACCAGCCAGGGATCCGTACAAGGTCATGACCTCTCACCACTCTAGTGCTCAAGCTTCAGCCATCTTCCTTTTCTTCCCTCTCTATATGGTTATTTTAAGCCTTCTTTAGTGTGCAATCCTTTATATTAGCCTGTCTCTTCACATGTTTTACCTTTTTCTTCGTAGAAAAAAGAAAGCTCACCAGCAAGAAACAATTTCAATATTATACTCCCAGCCTTCACCTCCCCCCCAAAAAAACCAAAAAAGCCCACGACTGTTTTATATCTATTTCCACTCTTTTAAACCTATTTTTTCCTCATTCCAACAGACATGATTGCACTCATCTCTTGGTGTTAGCAACCAAGCTATCTCTAGATAGATGATAGATAGATAGGTAGGTAGATAGATAAAGATCAATCGAAAGATTGATCTTTATCTATCTATACACTCCCTGGATTATACAGAACATAAACTGTTTGCAGACACCAACATCATAGTGACAATGATTTGCATTTACTTACCTACAAAATACTTTATATCACCATCTTGATTATGTTGTTATTATTCTTGTGTCATATTTATGCCATCCATTTATAATCAATCACTAGAAAAATACTTTCTATCATTATCTTGATTATGCTACTATTATTGTGTAACATTCATGCCATCTGTTAATTTCCATCCTGGAAATATTTTCAGGAATTTCCCTAAGTGTGATTGTCAACCTTACTGTCTTTCTCCTTGTAAATTCCAGACATCTTTACAGCTTGGATGGCTCAGAAGTTGAAGACACACTTGCTAACGGAAACCTGGCAGAGGAAGACACAAGAGCTTCCTTCAAACTGCTCCCTTCCCTACCACGTCTATAATATCAAAGCAATTAAGATACCTGGAACATCCTATGTTAGTTCTTATCAAGATCATGCCAAATGGTGTGTTTCCCTCAAGGGTACCAAAAATCCCTGGACATGCATTGGAGACTTAAATCGGAGCCCCTACCAAGCCTCCAGAAGTGGAGGATTCATTTGTACCCAGAATAGGCATGTTTACCAAGCATTTAGAAAATTAGTTTTGTGTTACGAGAATTGTTGAAGGGATATATGTGCTATCAATTTTGTTGGGTGCCCTTAAGTCAGCCAACTAATGACAACTGTATATACAAGAGATTGAAACCCTGCCCAATCCCATGCCATCCTCATGATATAATCTCTGTTGTGCTCAAGCTCATTATCCTAGCGACTTAGACACTCCACTTTTCCAATTATAATATCTTTCTCCAGGGACTGAGTCTTCCCAATAACACACTCAAATGTGTGAGATAAAAGTCTCACCATCCTTGTTTCTAAGGGGCATTTTTTGGACATTAATAATGAATCTTCTATTAAATTTGTTTTTTATGTAATAGAAGACATATACGTGTAGTCTTCAGTCATTAAATAAAACATTTTTTCTCATGTTTCCCATTTTTACTTAACAATTTCTTTGTTTTATACTATGTACCATGAACATGATATTGTTGTTGTTGTTGTCATTGTCATTGTTGTTGTTGTTGTTATGTGCCATTGAGTCACCTGCAACTCATAGCAGCCCTATGTACAACAGCCCTACACCCTGCTCTATCGTTGCCTAGCTTATTGTCTCTGACACACCTATCCTCATTACCCCAGTGACTGATTCAATCCATCTCATCGAGGGTCTTCCTCTCCTGCACTGTTCCTCCACCCTCCCAAGCATGACGTCCCTCTCCAAAGACTGATGCCGCCTTGCACCATGTCCAAAGTATGTCAGATGAAACTTCAGAAACCTTGCCTCCAAGGAGCAGCTTGGCTTCACCCTCTCCAAGACAAACTTGTTTATTCTCCTAGCAGTCCATGGTATATTCAATACTCTTCTCCAGAACCACAGCTCAAAGGCGTCAATGCTCCTTCTATCATCTATAGTCATTGTACAGCTCTCTGAGGTATAGCAAGTAATTGCAAAGACCATGATCTGTATCAGGCACACCTTAGTCTCCTGAGTGACACTGTTGCTCTTTAATACTTTGACAAGGTCTCTGACAGCAGACTTTCTCAATTCGATTCATCCTATAATTTCCTCCTGTTGGTACCAAGAGTGTTGACTGTAGAGCCAAGCAAACTGAAGCTGTCAACAATCTCAATCTCCTCACCATCCATCATGATGCTGCCAATCAGCCCAGTGTTGAGAATCTTTGTTTTCTTGATGTTAGAGCTTCAATACATATTGAAGGCTGCAGTCCTTGACCTTCTGTAGCAAGTGCTTCAGGTCCTCCTCAGTTTCAGCAAGTGAGGTTGTGTTCTATGCATAACACAGATTGTTGATGATTCTACCTCCAATCCTGATGCCACACTTCTCCTCATAAAGCCCAGCCTCCCATATAATCTGTTCTGCATATAGATTGAAAAGATATGGAGACAGGACATATTCCTTCCCAACTTTGAACCATTCAGTGTCTCCTTGCTCTCCTGGTCCAAGCATATGTTTCACATAAGCACAATCAAGTGGTCTGGGATTCCCATTCTTCTCAGAGTCAGCCACAGTTTGTTGTGATCCACACAGTCAAATGCCTTTGCACAGTCAATAAAACTAAGATAGGCATTCCTCTGGTACTCTCTGCTTTCATCCATGATCCATCTGACATTAGCTATAATATACCATAAACAAACTTAAAATCAAAATGAAAGGAAAATATTTGTTCTGGATTAGTCAACTCTCAATTGTTTGGTTATTGACTATTTTTTAAAATCCGTTTTGTCTACTTCACAAAGACTTCTCTAACTCTACTTCCTGCCTATTTCTGAAGGAAAAAAATAGCTCTCTTCTCGAAAACCATATTTTTGTTCATATTTCTCATGAAGTTCTTTCTCACTGATTTATGATTAAGTGTTATTTGTCATTTCATCTCTTACTTGAATACTTTGGATGACTCATTTAAACTGTTGGAAGCTTGGTTTATTCATCTATTTTGTTCTTGTTAGTACCATTGAGTTGGTTCTGACTCAAAGTCATAGTGACCCTACGTACAACAGCACAAAACACTGTCTGGTCTTATGCCATCTTTATTACCATTACTACGTTTGAGTCTATTGTTACAGCCACTGCATTAGTCATCCCACTGAGGACCTTCCACTTTATTCTGACCCTCTCCTTTATCAAGCATGATGTCCAGTCGAAAGTACACGAGGCAAAGTCTTGCAATTCTTGTTTTTAAGGAGTATTCTCGCTGTATTTCTTCCAAGACAGATTTATGCACTCTCTGGCAGTCCACAGTTGTTGTTGTTGT